AAAAAAAGAAAAACCTTAGCATTAACACTGGACTAAGAATTAAAGTAGAAAGATGTTCTCTGTGATCATCTGAGACCCAAACCAGGAAAGCTTAAAAATAGCCATTGAGGGCATGAAACTAATCACCACGTAACTTACCAAAGCAAAATATAAACCTCTTTAAAGAGAGAAAAAAAATCCAATTTTCATGACCTTAATTTTCAGAATATCTAACATAAAATTTGGGATGAAGTAACTAAAAGCTGTCAACTTAAAGTTTTATATCCAGTGAGATTCAAAAGTGAAGGAAAAAAACCAAATCTGAAAAGTTTGTCCCGGGAGAACTGCACTGTAATGTTTATCATAATTAAATTCCTCTTACAGAAGGAAAATGCTACCAGATGGAAAGTCAGATTTACATACAGAAATAGACTGCTACAAATGGTAGATATGAGACTCAATAAGATATTATAATCTTATTAAAGAAAATTATTGTAAAATACAATTAACTACTCATAGCAAAAGTAACAGCACGACTGGGCATGGAGGCGCGCGCCTGTAATCCCAGCTCTTCGGAGGCTGTAAACAGGCAGATCACTACAAGTCTGATCTACTAGTGAGACCCAGAACACCCTGTAGACCCTTCCCTAAAATACAGAAGAAAACACACAGCAATATACAGTAAGTCTCCAACTTGTAAACATTTGCATGGTGAACTTTCACAAATGTACCGCATAAGACTCATTTTGCCAGCTAACGATGACTCCAACTATGAACATTCTCTCCAGGATGGACCTTGTTCATAAGTTGAGGATTTATTTAAATACTTACAAAATATATATAAGCAATATGTGTAACAGAACAAAGGACAGTAAGAAGAAATCCAAGTTTTGTAGTTTTACATTCTACCTAGTGTAATTTTTAAATCGAAAGTAGATTCTGATGAGTTAAATTTGCACATTTTAAATCTTAGAGCTTTAAAAACTTTAAAGCTTTTGAAAGGTGCAGTTGTATGCCTTATGTTTTGATTGAACTAGAGGTTACATGTATATGTCAAACTTGTTAAACTTTAATCTTAAAATATGTACATTTATTGTATAAAAGCTCTACTGAAGGTGCTTGTTGCTTGTTTTTTTTTTAAATGATAAGATAGATTTTTAAGACCCCAATAAAATTTTTAAAAATTAAGAAAACACATGGGGAGGAAAAACTAGGATGAAGAAAAGAACAAAAGAAAGAAATGAAAAAGATATATTTAGGTATATATTCAGGGTAGTTTGTACTGCTGATTTCTGCTGGCCTTTTGAAAGGAGTAGTTAATGCTTAAATTTTTCTTCTTTTTATTATTTTTTTCTTTTGAATTTCTTATAACTTTTTGGGTTTTTTTGTTGCATTTTTTCTTTAAATCAATTTTGCACATGTATATCTGGTAATCCGAACAACTAATCTGAAGATAGCATCATGCAATACAGCAACCATTGTTGAATTCTTATTACTTTAGAGAAATTTTTTTAAAAATTCATTTTAATGAGAAAAAAGATAAAATAGCAATGAAACAGTTTCAAAACAGGTTAATAGGACAGTCACAATAATTAATATATTACATATTGTTGTCTTCATAGTAGTTATTCAGAGGACAAGATGCAGACATATCTTGTCTAA